ATCTTGGCTCCCATTCATTGCCAAGATATTATTGAAGAATTTCTTCGTATGCATCTCATCTCATCTTTATTAAATAATTTTTATCAAAAATCATTTGAAGATATTAGGTTGAACCTTATCAATGGAATAATATCATTTAAAGCATTTTTCATTCCATTGGAATCACATTTATTCCACACTGAAATATTTTTTTCAAACATATTACCTTTCCCAACACCCCATTAAACAACGTAACCCAAATTTCAATACCAATACATCACTTTTCAATATGAGTCATTAGCATTGAACTTTCGATGGCTGCAATATCATCAGACTTTAAAAGTAACTTGAGACTTTCACACCAATTAATTCGTTACAATAACCTTGAAGTAAGTCAAATGATTGGTGCAGTGATGAAGTTTAATGAATATGAATTAAATTTTGCTGAATCCATTCTTTTTTTTTCTGTAATTAAATAATTTTGTATATCTTCAATTAATTCATTGAGGTCTAATTCAAGAAGGTCAATGATTTCATCTGATCCCAGATTATCTATATTAACAATCCCATTATAAAAACGTCTTTTAAAAATATATTTTAGACTTTTTTATATAAACTGCTTTAATGAAAAAATAAAACTTGATTATTAATAATAATAACAATTAATAATTTATATTTATATTAATAATTCTTACATTAAAATAACTTCAATTTTTTGGAGAAATATTATTTTTTTCGAATAAAATAATTCCATTCTCATATCTTTCAATTATTTGACAAAGAGGCTTTAAAATATAAAGAGCTTTGCTTCCAAAATATTTGAAAGTTTTAACATTCTCTTCCAACTTTTTTTTGACCTCCACATCATAATAATCAGATTCATTCAACAAGTTTCTTAAAATAATTTAAAAGCCTACTAAAATGTTTTAATGGTAAAACATCTTTGTTAGATTTGACAAAAATATTTCAATGAAAACATTTTTTTAAAAAAATTTTCCACTCAACTATTACACAAAACACATGGTACACAATATTCTACATATAGTAATATTTTTTAACATTTGATATATTAACAACTTGTTGTAAACATTCCAATCGCTCATTTAATTTGTCATCATCATCATTAATATCTTTTCTTCTTCTTCACTATCAAGTTTATGATTGCATTTGAATGACATTCTAAGCAATAAATACAATTATTTCCTAACGATTTTCAAACAATAATTCTTGGTACATATATCTGAGCACTTTAAAAGTTATCCCACCATTCATACAAATCAGAATCCCTAGTTAAAGGAAAAAAAGTTATATACGGTAATTGGAAGCAAAGCATTGCTAAGAACTTAAAGGACAAGAATCTATTAAGTTTTTATTGGTTAAAGAAACACATTCATTACACGGAATTTTATTCAAAGTCAATTTGTAATATTTCACCTAATTGTGAATATTACAGTCAAAATACCCGGTGTTATTCTATTATTATTATTATTATTATTCATTATTTTAAAAAATAAATCTCAATCAACCAAGTCATATATTAATATATACTTCTCCATCAATTATAATGGCTGATTTGGCTGATTTGGATCTTCATTATTTAATGTTAAAAAGTAAGGCTTGACTATCATGTTTATTTATCTAAAATTTAATACATTATATTGAATTCTACATGTAACCCCCCACCTACTGTTAACCTAAAACTAGCTTGCCACCCTTAATTAGACATATTTAAATAAATCATCATACAAATATTTCCCACTTTGCACCAAAAACTATGAAATTCTGACACCACTCTTCCCATTTTTGCCAGAATGTATTTGAATGAAGTAGTTTGAGAATGTTTTTGTTGTATATTTTATTTGATATCCCAATGAATTTTCCCATGGATCTTCCTTGATTTCTCCATAAATACAATCAAACCTTGTAATAACAATTAAATTCTTGCCACAATGGATTTTAAATAAAATTTTCTTGTTATCTGCTGTGACAAAGTTTGACTGTATCAAATTTCTTGGGTGACTCTGGACACAAGTTGATCAACATAGATAGTTTTTTTGTCAATATCATTTGATCCAGGAACTATTTTTATCAATGCAACATTACTGTTATTGAATGATCTGGACATGTAAACATCCTCTAATTCACCACTACAGGCACACATAATTTTATGCATCTCACATTCTGGAACAAATAAATAAAATTCAGTTGGTTCTATTGAAATGGAAATTATGTTATGCCAATTTAAATTGGATCTTAATTGGCAGGTATAGTAAATGAAAGATTTTGTGTCCTTTCCATGTATTTCTGTGTAACAGGCATCATCTTAAATTGATTTTCCTTGAGGGAATAGATAGTCAAAGTGTGTATAATAATAAATTTTATATAAATAAGAACACTTAAAATCAATCACAACTGGACTAGTTGCAGCACCAATCAAAAAAATTATTGTTCATATACTGTATATTATATCTGACAATACTATTACAACAAACCATTTGTTCACACAATGTATTTTCCTGCATTCTTGAAAATTCTTTTGTTTATCGACGTTGAATATTAAAGCACATTACCAACATTGTAATAATATCGAAACCATCACCAAAACCAAAACTAAGACAAAGTCCAAGTCCAAATGCTATAATACCAAAACCAAATCTACAATTGTTCCCACCACCACACAACTGCAACAACCACAGCTATTGTCACATATATTCCTGGTGGTGGATTTTGTAGCATTTACAATCCTAGTAAATGTTGCAGTGGAGCATGTTGGTGTTTTACTTCTTTGTGTACATGTTTTGTTTTGAATTAGCCTACATTCTCATAAAGTTGTCCATAATCTGTCATATAGTGTAACAAAACTAAATGCCCAAATCCGAATTACAAAAATTCAGAGTTTTACTGTTTAGTTCCTGATCACAAAAGCATTTTATTAAATAAAGCAAAAAGAGTGAATTTATTTTATTATCAAATTGTGAAAAATGTTTATTACAGAATGAATTATCTGTAAAAAAATAATTTTATATTAAATTACTGCCTCTCTCTCTTGCAAATAAGGCTTTGAAATATTAACATTATTAATATTAATTGTTTGCTTTGTTAATTTGTTAATTAATTAATTAATTTCTTTATTTTCTCAATTTGATTAATAAATAACTTAATATCTTAAAAAAAACATTAAAATGTGTGGAAAAAATTGATGATTAATCAAATGGGCTAATTAATATATATACATGGGGGAAGAGTGTTCATAATAATATATCTTAAAAAAATATTTTTTGTGTAACCTATTTCTTTTAATAATAATTTTTTGTGTAATTGAATTCTTCAACAAAAATTTTTGTGTAACAGTTTGCTGTCTTTAAAATTTAGGCATTCCTCCAAGAATTTGTAAAAACTTTTGCCAACTCTAAATTACTGATCTTAAAATCGGGAAATTGTTGTGTGATTCTATTCATCAATTCTAAATGGAATAATAGTTGGGTTGAATTTAAATTTCCATTTTCAAGGAGCATTTTTGCCCTTTCAATATCAGGAACATGGATTTTAATTATTTTGCCATTAGTCAAGCTTGCAACAGTGCAGAGAGATCCCATCATTGTACTTTTATAAAAATCAATTTTGGAATATATATTTTTTTTAGAGAAATTTATTTTTATATATATTAAAAAATAATTATTTTTTAAGAATAAAAATCGATTTTGCTTGGATCAAAGAAGATTTGGGTTTATTTATATAAAATTTTTTTACTTATACTAACCTAATAAAGCTCATTTTTTATATTGTTTTTTAACAAGCCAAATTTTTTTTTTAAAAAAACTAATTAAACAAAAAAAACTGTCACTCATTCTAAATATTCTTTGAAATTAAAGTTATATATAAATAAATCAATTCATTGACTTGTTACAAACAAACTTCAATCATTTTTTTTTATAATTATATATGTGGTTAATTAATTTTAATTAATATTAAATTTAAATAATAATGCTCAATTAAAGTGAACGGTAATATGAAAATTTTTATATACAGTGTTGTCAAAAAAACAAAATCATTATGTGTGGTCATGTGGTCAAGCAAACCTTATTTATTATAAAAATCAGGTTAATCGCTTGCTTGTTAGTTATAAAAAACAAACTACAAATAAAATTATTTTCCCACAATTTTATAGGAACTTCAGACAATTATAATTGAACTGGATCTTGTTTAAATTGGGTTTTAAAAAAAATGGCCCAAAAAGGAAACTCACTAGCATGTTTTCTTATATGGGGCATGCTGTAACAAAAACCAGACAAAGTGAACATCCTTAAATGATATATATAATTACCTCTATATAAAAATAATTAATATGAAATTCATTTACATCCAATCTACCATGGAACCCAAGAATTATAGTACTATCAGAAGTATTTTGAAGAAAGAACAAGGAGAAAAAATTGCTCCTTACATTTTCAAACTAAATTACTCAGACATTGGAAGCTTGCCTAAGAAAAGAAAGGATTACCTATGAAATTTACCAAGAGGAAATAAAAATAATGAACATTAAGAAAAGAAAGCAGAATGAAAATGTACTATTACCCAATAAAAAGCAGTAACATTTGGAAGAAAAATAATTTTATTATTACAATTTATCTATTGTTTCCAACTATATTTATTTGATCAATAATTTAAAAAAATTTGATGTTTTTTTTTGATATTTCTTTTGGATCTAAAACTCAGTGAATATATTTTTGGTAACTTTAATGATCACAATATTACTATGTAGAAAAGTTTTACAAAAATCGTGTAGATAATGGCTATATATATTGATTGATTGAATCTGGAAGATTATTTATTAATTAGGAAGCAGAAAGTTTTATATTAATATGTAACAAAATTAATTGTACAAATTTGTATGATTAACCATTTGATAGTGTCAAATTGATATCAATTTTTGAAATAAAAATTGTTAAATTCATTAGGAAAAAAATATGAAAATCATTTTGATTGTAAAAATACTATAAAAAATAAAATCAAACTCTAAGTCATTTTGATGATGAATCTGGAGGAGTAGAATTTGGAGATCTTGTAACCTTTCTAGGATAATGGGTTAACATATCATAATAATTACTAACTCTTATCTATAAAAAATTATGAACAATTTAGCAAAGAAACCAATCATGGTACCATTGATAAAACCATTACCACCTAAGAGCAGCCCATGTATGTTTGAAAAGTCACAGAAACTTACTTTAAATCTTAATATTGAAAAGATTATTTCCTTCATTCTCAAAAGGCATATATTAGTTGAAGGGAGATAAAATTCATCAAAATTTTTAATAATGTTTTTTCCATCAATTGAATGCATTATTAATAAATGGACTTTTTTACCTGCACAAAATGAACAAAAAATTGTTTTAGCCAATCAGTAATCTTTAGCAAAGTATGTTAAAACCTCATATTTACCATGAACAAGCACAGCAAATGACATTAATTTCAAATTATTAAAATTGATGTGTTCATGTTGACTCCAAATAGAAAGTGACATTGCTATAATCCACAAATATGAAATTCATTGGTATTGTGATTAAAACAGGTCTAGTATGAAACCCTGATTAAAACATATAGAAGAAATTTAACAAACATACCCTTCAATAGCTTTGTCAAATCGTGATTACAATTAGCCAGATCTTTATCAAATGCATTGCCAGCCACTTCAACAAATCCTACTTGGGCACTTTCACCATGTAAATTCATGTAAAGAATCCCATCATGTTTATCACCAATCTTCAATCTTTCATTCTCTTCTTTTTTACTATTCTTCTGGATTTTTATTGTTAAATTTTCCAACTCACCACTATAACCGAAATGCATTAAAAAAAATAAAGACTAATTCAATCCAAAATGACAATTTAAAAAAAATGGTTATGTTTCTATCCAAAATTTATCTTCGGTGTCTTGAAAAACTGCAGAAAACAAGGGATTTATAATTTCCTCCATGTATTTTAACTCAGATGAGGAGCTATCAGTTACTGACTTATACTAGTGTGTAAACAAACATTGGTTATAAATTTTTAGTGGAAATATAACAGTACAAATAAAAAGATATCAAATTCTCAAAACTTACAAAGTAATATAAATATGTTGACACCAAGTTAGTTCATAAACGCTTTTATGAACATACATCAGGAAATTTTCCCCATTGCAATATTACATACATAAATTTTAATATGTAAAGTTGTATAATATTTGCATAAAAATTATGTAATATTTACACTTGATGTAATAATTGCATAATTTTTGTATGCTTATTTGCATAATATTATGGGCCTGCCATAATCTTACATAAATAGTGTAATAATTATGTAAATCTGCATCAGAAAAATTTCCTGATGTAGTTTCTGAAAGGTTTTTCATATATTTCTGATAATAGAGGCTCAAGATTAGTGTAATTGTTATCCAAATAGTTTGAAGCAACTTGGTGATATTTGTTTATCAATATAACTGTTCCTCTCTTATTAGAATTCAATTGAATGGCTTCATTAATCCTCTCTTTGGTCTATAGTCACAAAAGAATTTATACCTCTTAAATAATGTTTTAAACCTTACTTAATTTACAAAATATATCTACCTTATTCCACTGCTGTCTATATAAGTTCATCCTTTCATTACCAAGTGTATCATAAAGCTTTTTCATATATGGATACTCTCTATCGAATAAAGTAATTATTCCATATTTTGTTAAATGATCTTTAATTCCAGCCAATGGATTTGCTGGGATAGCAGCAGCTTCTTTATTTTCTTTATTATGATGTTGTCTAAGGAGTAAACATTTTAATTTTAATTAACTATATAGAATGGCGAGTTGTGGCAATAACCACCACCATTCTTATAATAAACACTTACCCTTTAGTATCTGCAAGATTGGTTTATCTTTTTCTTTTTGATTTTTTTATCATTACTGATGATGATGTATGAAAAAATAAAAAAGGAAAATAAAGTTTGTTATTTGATCAACAAACGTGCACACACTGATTATTTATGATTATGGGTTGTACAAGGAATATTGTTTTTGTTATTGTTGTTGACATGATTGAATTTTATTTTTATTTTTTTTGGAAAAACAATTTATTTTTTACAAGATGAGAAAGCATGAATGTTGTCATTTGGCAGGGTTAGTTCTAAAGAAGACAAGGTGTTATTTATTGATGGTGAGAGGTACTCTATTTTTTATTGCATTGTATATTTTTTTTTTATAAAAAGTTTTATAAATTGTGTTATATATGTATCTTTTATCTTGTATAAAATATCTTGTTGAAGTCAAAACGTGGATGGAATAGAACTTGTCTGTCTCTTTAGGTATTTATTACAAGATTCTTATGATAAATGATTGGGTATTGCTTTTGCTTTTTGTAATCATTATTACTAATATTAATTTGTAATCTGTGAAACAACTGCAAAAATTTGCCAATCATTAATATGTTTTTGTGGTGATAATAAACATTATAATTTTCAGGAATTTTGAGAATCTGACATTACCTCACGTGACCAACGTGATTCAAGAAAATTACATGACCACAATAATTTTTTTTATATTTTAAAAAGAGCAACTATTAAAAACTAAATAGAAATAACATATTTATATTTTTCTTGGATAAAATTAATTCTACACCCATTTTTACATC